GAGGAGCATTGTTAGTTCTTCTTTAAAGTTTTGGTCACATTCAGCCATAAATCCACCAGGTCCTGGGATTTTCTTTGTAGAGAGTCTCTTTATGACTGCTTCAATTTCATTGCATGTGATAGGATATTTAGATGTTTTCTATCATCTTGGTTCAATTTAGTTGGTTATATGCATCTAGGAATTCATCCATTTCATCTAGATTTTCCAGTTTACTTGAATATAAGCATTACAATGAGATTCTGCATAGAAATAGAACAATTGATCTTGAAATACATATGGAAACACAAAAGACCTCAAATGGCCAAAGCAATTCTCAGCAAAAAGTTCAATGCAGGAGGCATCACAATACCCAACTTCAAACTATACTACAAAGCCATAACAATACAAACAGCATGGTATTGGCACAAAAACAGACAGAAAGGCCAGTGCTTCAGAATAGAAGATTCAGCCATAAACCCACACATCAACAGCCAACTGATCTTTGATAATGGAGCCCAAAACACACAATGGAGAAAAGACAGCCTCTTCAACAAATTCTATTGAGAAAATTGGATGTCCACATGTAGATGACTGAAACTACATCCCTTTTTTTCACCCTGCAACAAAATCAACTCAAAGTGGATCAAAGATCTTAATATAAGGCCTGAGACTTTGAAATAACCCCAGGAAGCAGTAGGAAATATACTGGTTCAGATGCATTTAGGGAATGACTTCCTAAACAGAACTCAAAAGGCTCAGCATCTAAGAGAAAGACTGAACACATGGGACTGCATCAAACTAAAGAGCTCTGCACAGCAAAGGAAATAATCACCAGACTCAAGAGACAGCCCACAGAATGGGAGAAATATTTGCCAGCTACTCATCTGAAAAAGGACTAATATGCAGAATCTATAGGGAACTAAAAAAATCTCAGCCCCCATAGAATCAACACCCCAGTGAAGAAATGGGCATATGAATTAAACAGGGAATTCTCAAAGGAAGAGACACAAATAGCCAATAAATACATGAAGAATTTTGAGCTTCCCTGGTTATAAAAGAGATGGAAATCAAAACAACACTTAGATTTCATCTCACCCCAGTTTGAATGGCCATAATCAAGGGCAATGACAGCAACAAATGCTGGCGAGGATGTGGTGAAGCAAGAACTCTTATACACTGCTGGTGGGAATGCAAATTAGTATAACCACTATGGAAAGCAGTATGGAGATTCCTCAAAAAACTAAACATAAACCTGTCATATGATTCAGTGATACTCCTCCTAGGCATCTACCCAAAGGAACGTAAGACAGGATACAATAGAGACACCTGTACACCAATGCACCAATGTTCATTGCAGCACTCTTCACAATAGCCAAGCTTTGGATACAATCCAGGTTCCCTATAACTGATGAATGGACCAAGAAAATGTGACATATATGTATTACTCATCCATAAGGAATAATGACATATGGCTTGAAGGTAAATGGGTGCAACTGGAGGACATCATGTTAAGCAAAGTAAGTCAGGCTCAGAACACAAAAGTTGCATGTTTTCTCTCATATGTGGAAGAGTGGAAGATAGATCCAAAAACAAACATATTACACAAAACCAAGCATGATGATATACAAACTCAGATGTAGAACATGTTTGTAATAGTGGAACTACTCTATGGAACTCAGGGAAAGAGGGAAAGAAAAAGGGAATGATACAGCATCAATAGTATCACATAACATAGGATGTGAAGATAGAGAATATAAGTATATTTATTGAAAACTGTTGAAAAATGGGGGTTAGGAGGTAAAGGGGTAAGGGAGAGTAATGGAAGGGTTGAATGGACCAAAGTAAAGTGTCCCACAGTGGGCATACATTGAGACACCCCTTTGAACATCAACTTAAATATTAATAATGAAAAACAGTACTGTAAAATAGGTAGGTGGGGGATACTGGTGAGAGGGGGGATGGTGAATGAAGGAGATTAAGGTGATGGTATATGGTAGATGGACTTCTTATACCTGCATGAAACAGAACTAAGAAACCTTTTGTAATTGCTTTAAGTGGGGCTGAGGGGTGGTTCAGGGGAAGAGATGATGAGGTAATGTAATTAATGTACAATATAAGTCTAATTGGAATTGTCACTACGAATCCCTCCCATATAATGAATATAACCTAATAAAAATCTATAAAAAAATTAAGAAAACAATAAACACGTGTATGCAGTATTTGTACTATAGTTACCCTCTTACGCTCTTTCCTCACCTCTTCTCCCCTCCCACTTGTATCCCCCCCACCTCCACAGGCAGGACCTGTTCTGCCCTGCTGTTCTTCAATTTTATAAAAGAAAATAAATGACTTTTTTAATTAATATAGCTACACAGAGTGTTTCCTTGTCACAATTCCATGTATATAGGTATTATAACCTAGATTAGTTCATCTCCTCTATTTTTCTTCTTTCTACCTTAGTCCTCTTCTTATGATGATTTAAATAAGTGGTTAAATAAATAAAGGGGGAAAGTGAGAGAAATCTGTACAGTAAACCCCAAATAACTTATGTAGCCTCCTCAACAATGGGGGCTTTTGTCTCTACTTTTTAATTGTGAGCTCATTGACCTTCTTTCACGTACAGTGCAGAAGGTGAGAGAGGAAAGTAACTTCACAGCAGAGAAGTTGGATACACACTCCTCAGAAGAGTGGTCAAGGTTATGATCAACTGTTGTATGTCATGCTGATAGTGCATATATTTGATGTGACAAAAATGGCACTGTATCTCTGTGGTTTTTCTTCTAAAAAGCCACAGCCCAGTCTAAATCATGAGAAAAAAAAAAAACAAATCCAGTTGAGGAACGTTCTACAAAATGCCTGGTTAGTACTCCTCAAAACTGTCATGGTCATCAGAAATAGGAAAAGTCTAAGAAACTGTCATTCAGGAGAAGCCTTGAGAGACAAGGCAAGGAGGTATCAAGGGATAACCTCAGTAAGGTATTGAATGAGCAAAAGGATATTAGGTAAAATCCAAAGAATTCTGAACAAACTATGAACTTTAGTTAATAATAATGAATAAATACTGTTTTGTTAATTATAGAAACTGTACCATACTGTAAGATATTTAAAAATAGGGAAAATTGCTAGGCATTGGTGGCTGACATCAGGAGGATCACAGTTTGAGCCAAGCCAGGGCAAATAATTCTGTGAGACCCTATCTCGAAAAAACCCATCACAAACAGGGCTGTGGAGTAGTTCAAGGTGTAGGCCTTAAGTTCCAACCCCAGTACCACAAAAAAAAGGGGAAATTGGTTGTGTAATATTTGGGAACTCTTTGTACTATCTTCTCAACTTTTTTTATAAATCCAAAACTGTTCTAAAAAGAAACATTTATTAAAACAACAAAAATAATGTGAAACTTCAAGGGAAATTTGTATACACTCTGGGTGTTTCTAATTATTTCTTCTCTGCCTACCAAGACTTCCTGCCAAGTCCAACCCAAGCTAACTTTTAGGAGGACTTGAGCATGCTTTCTCATGATCTAACTAATGAGAACCACTGATAAGAGCTAACCCAAGGGATGATGTGTTTCAGTAGGAATTTTAAGAACATCATGTGATGTGTGGACTGTGGGGTGTGTGGAGATAGATAACAGGTGAGAAATGTCCTCAGTCTGAGCTTAGGAGGTGTTGGTAGGAATAGCAAGAACTTTATCCTGGATCACCCGGAAGACAAGACACTTAAGGAGGAAATAAAGTGAATATTGCTAGGAGTTTGGTGGGGGAGTAAGGAATTCAAAGTGTTCTTTAGATCTATCGAGTTTGAGTGCTTGTGGACACTTCAGTAGAAATATCTGATATACTCTCATGCCTGTGGTAAAATAGCTTCATATAACTTGAGACAATCTGCCTAAGGTGATGTGGCTCGAGAGTTAAAGGCAGAGCTTGTCCCAGGAAGGAGACACACCATCACCAAGTTCTGATGTAATTGATAGTATTAATAGCTACAGAAGTATCAGGGAGCCAGGGTGCAGGAGGAAGGTAACAGATGCTTTCTTAGCATTTTATTTGTTGGTTTGGTGTCTACAGTTTCTGCTGGCTCAACCTTTACTTTGCTTAATGACACTGTCACTTTTCCATCAGACACCAGTCCTGGGAGTGTGTCCTCTCCCCACCTTGCTCAATCTTCCCCTTGTTTATTCTAAAGTCTTCTTCAGACTAGTAGGCAGTTCACTAGACTCTTGAAAATCTTAAGGAGAGAAAACCCAGGAAGGAGAACCTGGGGATGTTTCCAGGAAAGGAGCATTCAAGCCTCCTTGGCATATTCCCTGTCCCCTCCCCTATGGGAGGAGTTGAATGGAGATGGGAAGTGTGGGGCTGAGCTCTGGCTGGGATTGGGGTCTGCATGAATAGTACAAGACATTACTGTGCTGAGATGGATAGATTCTCCCCCACACCCACCCCCATCCTAAGTAACTGTTTCTGTCCTCATGAAAGTCAAGTATTGCTTTCAGGTTCAAATGTTTTTGTTTGGATTTTGTCTTCTTTTTCAGAAGTTGTAGAATATATTGGGTGGTTTGGGCAGTAGAATTAAAGAGGGGTCAAGATATTTGTCCTTCTTTGGGAACTGGCCAAAAGAATCAGCTGCAGCCATTGACCCATACAGTAAGAGATAAAGGATAAAAGACCAAAGAAAGTGCCGAATCTAAGTCTCAGAACTTCCAGAATTTATTATTATACTTTAGTAGGAATACTCACAGATTCAGCCATAATACTGGGGTGAAGTCAGAGTTGCTGTATTAACAACAGTCCCCTCAGGGTGGAGGATCTGATAGCTAGGGCTAGGATTGGGCTCCTGGGTGTGGGTGCTGGGTCATGACTTCTCTTTCCCAGCCTCATCAAAGAGATATGCAGACATATGCAGGTTCACATATGAATGGGCCACCAGGGGACCTGAGGACAATGGGGCCAGTGGCTCTTCCCTTGCATAGAATGGTCTGAGGGCATATAGAACACAGGGGGTGGCTACTTAAGTGTGGGCCATCACTGCACCTCCTTCTTCTGCTGCTTCCCTGCGGGGAGCAAGTCTTCTCCATTCAGTGGCTGGAGTAGCTGGTTCTCTTGGACCTGGCCAGGGGTTGGGGCAAGCACAGGTGTTTTCAGCTGCTTCTCCTGCTGCTCCAGGTGCTGCAGCAGCTGCTCCTTCTTCCTTTCCAGTTGCTCATCTTTCTTTACTAGCTCTTGATCCAGTTGCTTATCCAAGAGCTGTGTCTCCTGTTCCAGGTGCTCCTTTAGATATTGCTCCTTTTGTGCTTTCTCTTGCTCAAGCTGATGATCCACGTTTTGTGCTTCCTGCTGTTCTTCATGCAGTCGTGATTGCAGCTGTTGCTGCCCCAGGTTCAAGTCCTGCTCCTGCAGCTCCTGCTGCTGCTGCTGCTGCTGCTGTCCCAGATGCAGTTCTGGCTCCTTTGGCACCTCTTGCTGTAGCTGCCCCAGGTTCAGCTCCTGCTTCTGTGACTCCTGCTGTTGCTGCTGCTCCAGGTTCAAGTCCTGCTCCTGCAGCTCCTGCTGCTGCTGTCCCAGATGCAGTTCTGGCTCCTTTGGCACCTCTTGCTGTAGCTGCCCCAGGTTCAGCTCCTGCTTCTGTGACTCCTGCTGTTGCTGCTGCCCCAGGTTCAAGTCCTGCTCCTGCAGCTCCTGCTGCTGCTGTCCCAGATGCAGTTCTGGCTCCTTTGGCACCTCTTGCTGTAGCTGCCCCAGGTTCAGCTCCTGCTTCTGTGACTCCTGCTGCTGCTGCTGTCCCAGGCTCAGTTCCTCTTCCTGTGGCTTCTGCTGTTGCTTCTTGCCTAGATCCAGCTCCTGTTGCTGTGGCTTCTGTTGCTGCTGCTCTCCCACGCACGGGTCCTGCTCCTGTGGCTTCTGCTGCTTTCCCAGGCACGGGTCCTGCTCCTGTGGCTTCTGCTGCTGTCTCAGATGTTGTTCCAACTCCTGTGGCTTCTGCTGCTTCTGTCCCAGGTCCAGTTCTGGCTCCTGTGGATCCTGCTGCAGCTGTCGCAGGTGTTGTTTGGGCTCCTGTGGCTGCTGCTGCTGACCCAGGTGTGGCTTCTGTTCTTGTGGCTCCTGTTGTAGCTGTTCTACATGCAGGTCCCAGGGTTCCTGCTGCTGCTGACCCAGGTGCAGTTCTGCCTCCTGTGGCTCCTGCTGCTGCTGCTGACCCAGGTGTGGCTTCTCTTGTGCCTCCTGCTGTAGCTGTTTCACATGCATCTCCAGAGGTGTCTGCTGCTGCTGCTGACCCAGGTGCAATTCTGGGTCCTGTGGATCCTGCTGCTGCTGCTGACCCAGGTGCAGTTCCTGCTCCTGTGGCTCCTGCTGCAGTGGCAGCCGCTGCTCACACTCTTGCTCCGGCAGCCCATTCCCAGGGGTTGTGGGTTTCTTTTCATGTTTTGAAGGGCCCTCTACTGGGAGCTCAGAGGGTGCCTCTTGGCTTGGGGCAGGTGGTGTAGCTGGCTGCTTCACTTGCTCCTGCCTGAGATGGGCTGGAGGAGAAGCAGTCTTAGGGGATTCCTGAATGACAACAGGAAGGTCAGTCACTGGCAACATGTGTTGGTTAGACATCTTGGAAGCTGTTGTAGATCAACCTGAAAAATAGAAGGGTAGAGGATAGGCTGAAGGTAGAGGAAGTAGATGAACCCCTGGAAATCTTCCCAGTCTGTCAGCAGCCCTTCTCTTGGTTGGGACACTTTCCCACTCCCTGCAGGCTGTCATTCCTGGAAGCAGCAGAGAGTGAAAGGTGGAAAAATAGGGGAAGGGAAAGGCTCTCCTGGGAACAAGGAGACACCCAGACAAAATCCAACAAACAGACCTCTTTCTAGAGCCATTCTGCATAGGTGAGCTGGGTGCCATTTAAGCTTTTGCTTTTGTCTAGTCATTGTCTGTAGCCTAATCTAAGACCTCTTCCAACTGAGAAGAGATGAGTTTTGAGATTATATCACAGAAGGAGGGAAGACCCTAGGAAAAGAAAGGTCTCTTAGAGGACCCATGATTCCTGAAGAACCTGGGTTGAAGGGGAATCAAGAGGTCATGGCACCCAAACTGGAGTCACCTAACACATTCTCAGTCTAAATCTCCTACTGAAATGTGTTTCTGAGCAAGTCACTTAGCACCTCCGGGCCTCAGACTGGCCTATTTGGCTCCAGAGGGCATTTCTTTCCTGACCCTCTTAACTTTATTTGCAGTCCTAGTGCCTAGGGTGGGAATTGAGGAAAGCTAGAATATTGTTGAGAGTTGGAGCTTGTTATTTCAAGTCTTGTACTTCTAAGTTAGATTTTCCTACCCCTGTTCCACTTGGGTTTCTCCAAATTCAAATTTCTACAACCTATTTTCCTCCACACAGTGGCCTGAGCCTCCCAGAAGGCAAGGAAGTCCAGCTGAAGCCAACTCTAGAACAATACCCACATCCACCCAGGCTGGCCACCCTAGCCATAACCTGGCCTGTTGGAGGTCCCCAGTCTCAACCTGTTCCAAGCAGCTGACACTCACCAGATTCACAGTAGAGACTGAGGCAGAGGTTTCTGGTGGAGTGCTAAGCTATGCAGGGGCCAAAACACCTTTTATACAGTTCCTGCCTAACCTCCTTTCCAGGTTGGAGATGATGGACTGGTTTCACCACTCTGTTGGTCAATTTTCTCCAGCTCCTTTCTGACTCACCACAGGTATCTTAAGTAGCAAACCCTCAGGGCCCCTTTTTCTAGCTCCAGCCTGACCACAGGACTCTGAGAGCCCAGCTGCTCCTGTGATGCCCATTTGACCTGCGCATAGGGGAGGTGACAGAGGAGAAGAAGGTATCCTATTGTTTTGTGATCTCAGCCAAACTTATGACCTGAATTTCAACAGGTTCATCCTCATTATTAGGTCAGGGATTCATCTTCAGAGGCACGAAATGAAAAGTTTCATGTCTTTCTTGGATATGCAGTACAGGGTCTTTGGCCTGAAAACAGGAAGAGTCACTTCTGAAGGGATGAGATTTGGGACATTCCCTTGAGCTATGAGTCCATCCTTGCTCAGAATATATCTATAACTCCATTCTGTGGAGATGTAAACTCTGTATTTAGGCTAACTAGAGGCAAATAGAAAGATCCTATACCCTCCCCCTGCTGTGTGCTTGAAGCTAGTCCCAATTCCCAAGACTATACTTACAGAAGTTCCCAAAAATGCTATGCACATAAACACTCCAAAGCTTCAACTACTCTGAGCAAAGAAACAGAATAGAAGAGAAGCAATGTATAATATAAACATTGCTATTCATGATGATGAAACAAGTGCTTTCTATAATTATTTTTGAAAATACACAACAGAATAAAGATCAGAATTAAAATGTCCATTGACTTCTGTACACATTCTCTAAAATTAGCATAAGAAATCTTTCAAAGTGGGGATTTGAGCATGTTTCTCTTTGATACCAGGATGACCCAACATGCTTATAAAAATAATCCAAATTCATGGCCATGGTCTAAAAGGCCCTGGGTTACTAGATTCTGCCTTTTTCTGGACCTTGACTCATGACATTCTATCCATGATATGTAGACTTCTGCCTCAATGAGGATTCTCAGGTTCTAGGACAAGTTCAGAGGTCCTCACATTAGGGATGGACACCTGCTCTCTGTCTGCCAGTGCACATCTCCATAAGGCCCTAGTTCTTATGTGCCTTTAAGCTTCAGCATAAATGTTAGAGTCTGCCTCAGACTGAGCATTTTCTGGAGCAGAAAAATGAGAACCAACCAAGCATCCTCACATGGGCACCAAAGCCCTTATGCTCTGTGGTTGAACTCACATGGGAGGCATCTGCCTTTCCTGAGCCCGTGACAGTCAGTGCTAGGGCAGCAGACCCTGCTCAAAGAAGTTACACCGGTCTTATGGGTTTCCAGAGGCCCAATATCTGCCAGATCTGCCTCCCGCCCTCTGATTCACAGTATAATGAGAGCTTTGAGAAGCCGGTGTGTGTGAACATTTGACCATTGGGCAAAGCTGGGGCGTGGGAAGGTGTGTAGAGGATAGAGCTGTGTGTGTGAGTGTGTGTGTGTGTGTGTGCAGGAGAGGAACTGGAGCAACCTTAGTCTTCTAGGGCTCAAATGCCTCATATTCTGCCCCTAGGTTACGTCATTTAGGTACCAGGAATGGATATATACAGGGCAGAGTCTCTTAATGCAGTGTGAATGACTTCAAATGTCATTGACCTCATGGCCCACTTGATGAGTCCAAATAACTGTCAAGCCTCCACCCAGTATAATGAGGGTGAGCTCATACACCATGACACAGGGAGAGGCCTTGACCCAGCTTTGCCCCAGCCCAATGGAGCAGTGGTTATTTCTCTTCCAGAGGTAGAAACTGGCTAGTTTTTCTCTCTCTTTAGAAGGCAACCAATTGAAGTGTTGTTAGTCATGGGGGTGGGGGATGGAGAAGGGATTGGTCGTGGAAATTCACTGCCCTGGGGGGAGACACGTTGAGGACAGTTCTTAGCAGGTTGTTAATATGGCATGATGGCAGATGGTCCTGGGAGGGTGACTTAGGCCAGGAGGTCTCATGTTCCCAGTTTGGGTAGGCATGCCCTGACTCTTTTCCTAGTGTGGCAATGCCCCCATGCTCTGAGGCCACTGAGCTCCTTTCCTTCTCCATGGGCCTCTTCCACTTCCCAGAGCACTGTCTCCTATATCATTCCTTAGTCTGCAACCTGCACCATTTACCTCCTCACACACTTGAATCCTCCTTGTCTTCCTTCATTGCCTGCTGAACCTGACCTTGGCCTTCACTTTCTTTTTGTGCCCTTCTGCTGCTCAGAGAGAATAAAGCAGGAGGAGAGATGAGAACAAGTATGTACCCAGAGAGCTGATTCTTTCTCTCTGGACTTCTGGGTGGACCTGTATCATCTGACCTTCTTTCCTCTCTTACATCTTAAGGCTGCCCCACCTTAGTCTGCTGAATTGCTGATTCTCACTTTCAGTGTCCAAAGCAGGCCCTTTCTCCTGTATCTGGCAGTTGTGAAAAGAAAGTTACAGGTTTGTTCTGGATGACAGTAAGAGGAGCAAAGGCATGAATGGATCTCAAAAGGGCAGAAAAGAAGGTTCTAAGTGCTCCTTTCTCAAGCTAAAATGAGTGCCCTTCCTCTTGAGCCCATTGCTGGAAAAATCACACTCTCTGTAGTTGATTATCTATACCAGAAGACAACAGAATGTCTGAGATAGAGGGATTCTTGGAGAATGCATGAGACATGCCTCATACTGTGCATATGTATAGGAGCTTCTTTATCTATATATCTAATTATTACTAATAATGATAGTGATTTTTAATTCAGAATAGGCAAATTCATAAAACCAGGAAGCAGATTGGTGGTTGCCAAGTTCAGGGAAAGAACAATGAAGAGTAACTGCCTAATGGATATGGCATTTCTTTTTGGGGTAATAAAAGTTTTATAGAGCTAGATATGGCTGGTGGTTGTACACTATGTGAATGCACCAAATATAATAGAATTATTTCTTTAAAATGGTTAATTTAAAAAGAAATAATACCCTTGACTAAAAGTAAGTTGCAAAGTAATTAATGTTTACTGATTGATGCATTCGGTCAACCAACATTGAGCATCTACTATGTGCAAAGTACTAAAGATAGGGCAGTGGATACAAAACACATTTCCTGTCTTTAAGAAGTTTAGTGTTTCAGCTTCTTAACATAGCCTAGTTCTCTCCATCAGGGTTCTTTTTCTCTTTTGACAAATAAGGACTGAAGTCTGGAAGAGGACATGAGCTGACTCTCATTCAGCCCCAAAACCCTTGAGATGACCCTCATTGGTACTGGGAATAGAGAGCTTCACTCCCAAGTAGGTCTGGAGAATTATTGTTCAGGGGTTAACCTGAAGTTAGAATGAGACAGTCCTGGATTTAAGTACCACCTACACATCTCACAATTTGGATGAGACACTTCATCTTTATTACTCCCTGTTTCTTTGTAAACAGAGAATACAAACACCTCCTTAGATTTCTATGAGGACTTGGTGAGGTAATATGTGTGCTTAGCACATAGTTTGTAGTCAGGAAATTGGGTGTTTTATTGTTGGAAGCCAAGTAAATATTTATTGACATAATGCAGTGTGTTACCTGCCTAAAGGTAGATTTTTAAGGATGCAAGATCTTCAAAGATCTTCAGCTTCAACTTTCTCCTTTTGCCAGTGAAAACTGTGAGGACTCAAAGTTGCACAGCGTATGGGAGCAGAGCCTTCCATTTGTTGTTCTTTTTAGTCTTTTCTAACTCCATCTGTTCTTTGTATTTGTCACAGAGCCATATGAGTGCACTAGGCCTCCATATGAGTTGGTGAGATGCAGAGTAGGCATTGTACCTGTAACCCTCATCCCAAACACACACACTCATTTACACTCCTCTCAGCAAATTAGGTTGCTGTGTTAACAGTCAGGTTGAGTGCAGGCCCCTGGATCCCACATGGGCTAGGCTGCTGGGAGGGTCCCCGGCTATCCTCCCAGAATGACAAGGAGATATAACCTCTGGATCCAGTTTTAGAATGGGCCCCCTGCTTCTGTTATCAGAGAACTCCTGGTCTGAAGAAGAAC